TGATGCCATTCCGGGCAGAAACCTAAATGTTACAGCTATTTCAGCACGACAAAATTCTAGAATTTGTGTAAAACACAAAAAGTGCAAAAGAGGGTTCATATTGTACAACCTTGTTTTCTCCAAAATAAATTCGAAACCGCGATTTTATAGACAGACATGCATAGAATCCATTGCGTTTGTTTGAGCCGCTTCGTTTTATCAGCATGAATAAATTATGTAAATTCGTGTACACAGAGACACTTCTGTTTACTTGGTATACCCTCACTTTTCAAAAACAATACGTGACCACGTTTTGGTCACGTCGTTTTGAGTTTTTGTTTTCAACCTTTTGTTATCATGAAATATCTACCTGCATCTTTGCAAGTACATACAGGCTTGCTTGTTGACTTGACAAACAAGATACGAAGTTGAACAGGATACGAAAACGAATTCGTAAATCAATTATTCCCGAGTTTAGACCGTGTTTCCAGCAAACGATATACAATAAATATTCATATATAAATACAAATTAAAGCGATTGAAGCCATGGTAAGCGGGCCGCGTGATGAATCTAATTTGAATTAATTAACGTCGATATTTCGTAGTGATTTTTGTGTTTTGTCCAAAATATTGTATTTGCTTGTTTGTATTCGAAATTTACGAAATTGAATTCGTAAATCAATTATTCCCGAGTTTATAACGTGTTTTCAGCAAACGATTTACAAGAAATAATCATATATAAATGCAAATTAAGTGATTAAAGTCAGGATAAATATGCCGTGTGGTGAATCTAATTTGAATTAATTAATGTCGACATTTCGTAGTGATTTTTGTGCTTTATCAAAAATAATTTATTTGTTTGTTTCAAGGCGAAACCAACAACTTAAACAAGAATTATTTTCGAATCAAAGTATTGAACAAGACGTATTTTAAAAACAACTTGTTCAACAAGAAGTGTTTCAAAAACATTTATGATGTTGGATACTACAGATAAAACTCGTATCGCTGTCGTTGGAATTAGGAAAACCAATTATTAAATCGACAAGGCAAGAACTTAAAAAGAGACGCTTTACACAGCGATATATTTATTGCGATGCATATTGTGGTGATGGATGGTGAATTGTGATTTTTGTTTCCATTTTGAAAAGGAGTTCAATCCTCTCGATTTTGACTCATTTTGAGACTAGAATATAATTATCTTGCGATAATGTTGGTGCACAGGGTGAGTCAAAGAAAATGTGACCCCGATTAATTATACTTCCCCTAAAAATGCAATTAAATTTGACTCACCAACGAAGCATGTATTAAAAGAGCATGTTCTTCAACTCATATGGAAAAAAAGAATCAGAAATTGATCCATGCATGCTATCAGAAGTTTTGCATGTTTTACTAAAAAAACCTTGTACACCTGTCCATGGATTGCTAAATGCTTAGAGCTGACACACAGGCATTCAAATACAGAATGAGATTTTAATGAGTCAAGACTAAACCATTATTTTCACCGTCAGATTTTGTGTTTTGTATAATATGAGAAACAAATCAAGTCTCTTTCTGTAATGATGATGGTGACTTTTGCAAGTTTTCGTTCATTCATGGAGGTAGGAAGGCCCATGATTCATTGTATTTAAATGATCATTGTATCGGTAAATGATCAGTGGTGGAAAGCTGAATGTTGTGGTGTTTCTACGAAAATTGAAATAACTTGTGATCAGAAGATGCAAATTACGTGAACTTTTCAAAATTACAAGTCAATAACATGTACTTTATTCCTATGTTATTTTACTGAATGGGCCAAGCCATATATTTTTTTACATATTTGTCTTAGTCTGTAACTTTCTTTTTGACTCACCCTGTAAATGTATTTATTACATGAAATGAATAATGTATGCTAAAAATGGTGGACCATTTCCCCAAACTGTCGTCCCGATACCGTATGGCCATATTTTATTGCTGTGAATACTAAGCAACAGCTCCCTAGTTTTTCACGAACTCTTAGAACAACGCATAATCTATATTCATAGGTGCCCGGTTTTGTATTAAGCTGGTAGGGATTTCATGGCATTCGTAAATATAAATTGCCCATGTTGTTATATACGATGACTATGTGGTTGTAATTCTCCTTTTCATTTGTGTTTTGGAGCATAGTTTTCTTTGTGTACTTTTTTTAATGTTTTTTTTTTATGTCTATCATGTTATTGCATGGGGATTCAGAGTAGAATGCTCATGAAGGCAAATACATGTTTTATTGTAATCCAACTTATAAATTGTATTTACTTAAAGGGTCAATGAGATGGATTTTTCTTATGAACATATTTTGTGCAACTTTCTACTCCTCATTCAATGTATGAGAACTATCTGACATCCCTTTTTTGTTAATTTGATTAAAAAGTGCACTTTTTTAACGTTTTTCCGGACAACGGAGAGCGCTGTTGCTGTGATGTCATTTCAAGAAGGCACTGTTTAGGTTAAAGGTTTTCTGTTCAATTGTGAACCCACAAATTTGTTCCTTGAAAGGATATGTGAGAAAAGTTTGCTCACCGGCTTACTGCCATGTACCGACATAGGCTAGCGAATCACCAAAGAAAAGAAAATTTACTACAGCAACATTTCCAAAATTCTGGTGCTGGAATAACATTGAGGTTTCTGCCTGGAATGACATCACACTTTTGCTCATGAATATGAATTCGTATTGGCTTAAAAACCAAAAAGGCACGAAAATACCCTTGAAAATGGCAAAACGAAAATGGAAAAAAAAGGTTCAATGGGACACAAAGGTGCATGTGCAAGGATTGCAGTAAAAAATATTACATTCCATGGGCCATTTAAAATATATCTACAAAGTCTTGAAACTTGGCTGGAATAGCGTTGTTTTTATCATTAATTAATTTGATTTACTCCACGTGTTCTTCGTTTTTATGTTTCTGTATGAGTGTACGTCCTCTGCCGCATAAGATGGATGTCCTTCAGGAGAAACACTTTGCCATGATGAAAATGCATTTCCAGATGTGTCATATATTACAGATTCCATCTTGTAAAACATGCCAGCCAGGATGCGTGTTCCCGTCGTGGCTTTAGTCGTCTTCGACCATCTGCATAGGTCTAAAGTACCTTAGGGAGCAGGGGGAAAGCGATGGGGAAAAACTCCGCGGAGTGAGTAAGTTATCAGCGGGGAACGCAGGGAGAGTGCCCGGTGTGCTACGGGGAGCGAGAACCCGCCATTCCGGTAATAGGATTAGCGTCGACCGCGGATGCGCTGGGCGATACCCAAGCTTCCATTAGAACAAATTGAATCGCGGGGAAACTCCGATGTAAAGACAGAGAAAAAGCCAGAAAGGCATAGGGAGCTCTTACCAATTTGTGTAAATGCAGCACCTTGGTTGCACACGACGGTGACATATTGCACGCAGTGTGTGTTCGTTCACTTAGAGGCATCCGTTGCCTAGGTTTCACCATGGTTTCAGCTAGGCATCCCACCATCTCACGAGATGCGCCATTCCATTATTTAATTTAGCCTGTCGGCGTTTTTTTTGTTATATCTTGGATGGAAAACGGAATATAATATGGCGCTCTTATTCATTATGGAAACAAAGGGTGTGTAAATTTAGGTTCGTGCCGTAGTCCTAATCATCAAAACGTGCATAATGTTTCAAACACTCATGAAATGATTGAAGTGTGCTATTTATAATATCTGCTATAATGGTAGCACATAACATTTGCCTGAATTGTGTTTGCTTAAGAAGATGGGTTTTACAAAAGATGTAAACAACTGTTTAGCAAATATCTACGGTACGCAGCTTAATTAAATTCAACAGAAAATTTCCATTAAACAAATTCAGCACTCAGATATAAATAGTTTTAATTTTTAGCACGCAAGCGAAAATGCTTTTAATTTGTCAGTACATGAACATACGAAAGTCTTACTAATTTTTGCTTTTTGTTGTACACCGTGCCTACATGATAAATGCATTCATGTTTATGTTCACTGAGTGGTGAATGATACGGTCATTACAGTCGATTCTCGTTAGTACAAACTCTGTTAATACAAAATTCTGGTTGTAACAAACATAAAGCCCTAGTCCCGACTGTGCGGGACTCGACTGTATTTTGTGCGTCTAAGGTTTTGAAAGCCGTTTGAACTGTGTTATATGTGATTGGACATAGCGCCCTCTATGCAACTCAATGACGTGAATTATGTCGAGTACAGTACATGTACATGAACAGTGTACATTCTGTACATGTTCAAGATGTATAATTATGTACATGTACATGTACATTTACACATACATATGTAGTACCAATATCCAATGTATATTGTGCGTTTATACACCTGTTCATACGACAGTCATAGGGCCTTAATATTATCGAGAATGACTCTACCAAGTACAATTGTTGTTTGAATCTTACAGTTTCACTGGATACGCGTGAGTTTTCGTACTCTTAATGCACAGTATAGCCTTTTCAGCGGCTATACCCCCCCCCCCCCCACACACACACACACACACACTTACTGTTTTGAGCTACGCCCATTTCAAAACACCCAACGATTGAATGCATTTGGAATTGACAGAAATGTTAGTAGGTGTTACATAACCTAACGAATTAACAACAATGGGATTTTAATCATATTTCAACAAATGGTTGGCAAATTGGGTCATTGTGGTAAAGACGTTCACATGACGTAGCAAGGATATCGTTCACATGACGTAGCAAGGATATCTTTATTCTGATAAATTACTCCACCACGCGCATGCTCAGTTGCGAGAGTACAATTTCATCACGGGTACAACCTCATCACATTGATTTCTATCAAATGGCTGTGAAATGTTTTTATCAAATTCTGCATTTCTTTGTTGATGACCTTTTTTATGTCCATGACCTAAGAAACATTGAATTTCTGCAACACGCACGTAGACGACATCGTCCGTTACAGAATACAGAACACTAATTTCTATATACGCATATTGCATTACTTCACGAAGATAACACGCAACACGGAAATCCAACACGCAAGGACACAGAGGTTAAATTCTTCGAGTGTTTTTTATTCTTTTATAACAATCATTATATACATGTACATGTAGACATAACATATCAAGATAAAGAATGAGCCGAATGTCCGTAATATTTATATGACATTGGAGAGCCACATTATTTCAATGCAACTTCACATTGTTCAAACGGTTCGCATGAACCACAATTCAATCTCTGATACAAAACATAGAACATTTGTTTAAAATTCTAAATGTAATGGTCCCAAAACGTAAATGTCTTCAACACGAGCAAGTACTCATTACAATTGTATAATGTAACCAAAGAAAGTCAAGGTGTTAACAAGGTTTGACGAGATTTTAAGCATGTATAAATATATTATATATTGTTTTAGAAATCTTCCATTCTTCAAAGGTACATGTATATTGTAGTAACGGACAGTTATAAAAAGCTGGTCAAATATCGGGTAACGATAACAAAACCTGGTAGGACGTATTGTTAGTTAGCATTTTTTTCTGAACTTTCCTTTCATTTTCTGGCGCTTTACTGAAAGACAGAACCAGGACAAAATGTAAGGGTACTTCACAAGGAGTATAAGAGAAATATGCGGGTTGGTTTTCTTGCGGACGAAGTTAATTACTTTTGGAAGGTTCCGTACTGGCGCACGGCTTACGGATTTGATTAGATTTCATGAATAAATTCATGTTCTCGGTCACAGCTTGATTTCACAGGTTTCTGCTGGTCACCTACTCATCCATTTCCATAATGACCACAGAAAAGGGTCTGGAAGTTGTCACAAAAATCAGAAGGTTTAACACCCGACGGGGAAGCACTGTAATGTAAAGAAGGGACAAAGACTATCATTCGGCTCTGTTAAATAGAAACCCAGCGATTGTTCGTCTTACAAGGACAGTTTCTCGAGCAACAATGAGACATTTTCAGCGTGGATGACCCCACCAAGGTTTTCTTCTTTTTTTTTTACATCGAACATTGCCCCCGTTTAACACCGTTTGACCTCAAAAAGACAAATAACATAGTAACAGCCAAGACAATTTGTGTGTTTACAAAGAAATGTGCAAGGTTGCAATCAAAGCTATATCGTGGCAAGTTTCAACAACACATGAATGACGTACATTACAAAATATATCGCTAACATTCAACATCTCTGTAATAATGTCAATTTAATTGACACAAGTAATACCATATATGAGTACTCAATCTTTATTGTTGTAGTGACTCCAGTGCTTAAAAGCCACCTATGAAATAAATTGGAATTTAGTCTTATCTTCTTAAGATACAAAGCCGGATAATCACAAATATTTGATTTATTTTGGAATAACCTTTATTAGAATAATTGGGTGCGAACTTTAATAACAAGCCTAGTGTTTCAATTCCAATAATCTTTTGGTAATGTTTATTGTGTGACTTGATGTTATCGTTCCTCAAAATTCATCTTTTTTTTTCCATTTTATTTTGGAACTATGTTCCATCCCAAAAAAAACACAGAAAAACAATTGACACAACTCTTCAAGTCCCAATGTTAAAATCGAAAAAGTCAATGAATTGGTTTTCAATGAATAAATGTTCGGGGGTAAATGTAGTATTTTGTTCTCAAAGGCTGTTTAAAAATTCCTCTAGTTCTAACCAAAGAGTACTGAACTGTATGCAGTAAGCACCATGGTTCACCCACGATATGAATTTATGTATAAGCGTGTCATCAGACGTGCTGCCACCTTCTCGTGACTGAGTGATATACGCCTGAATAATGCATAAACAGGTGCCAGCGCTGATCTCTCGCGCAGTGTTACTACATGTACAGGTATTAACACCTCCGAGGAGAGATACTGTGACACCGGTGATCCGTGCAACGCGTCTGCCGTCTAAAGTGTCGAGTTGACGGTAGCAGTCGGCACCCGGAGCTACGGTGTATACAGATAGGTCCTCGTAGTGTGGCCAGTGTCATAGGGGTATCTCGTATAAAGACGACTCACATATGTACAGCTGGAGAAACAGAAAGAGAAAAATTAACTTGATAAATAAAAGTAATTAATACTGATATTTTTATATCGTTAAAGAGAATCAGTAGCTTTAAACAGGAGGTGGGCGTGGCTTAAGAAATTTGTTTTTAAAAAGTTGAGGATTTTTAATCAACCAGCATGGACTCAATGTCAACGAAGAATATTTTGACACAAATTGAAATCAATCACAAATCCGCGGTTGCACCTTTTGTGTTCTCAGGGTTTTGATCTGCAATTTCAAAAACGATACAAGTCATGTTCAAAAGCCACGTAACACCCCGGTAAGAATGCCACCAATTACGGCAAAACACCTGTTCTTTGATAGAATCCAGCCGGGCAGGTCTGTTACCAGTGAGTCAATTACAAGTTTACTTTTTTAATGTGACGGTACATTTGAGCCGAGTTTGAGCAATTTCTTTTTCTTCATCCAAGCATGATTCAATTTCACGGTTCGCCGAACGGCGGGACGCAAGTACCAAAAAGGCCTCCATAATTTATTACTGGCATGGAATGTTAACTATGCATACACGACTCCGACTTTGTGCAAGATTATAAATCTCCATTTGTATCAATTTACTCATTGTTTCAAAAGCAAGAATAGCAAGGGGGCAAACTGTATGTATATTATCAACAGCACATTCCAATTTTCTTGGAGACTTTGATTTCAGAAGCCTGCCTCTGAACATATTTCGGAAAGATGATAGCAAAGTGTGTCATGTCATTTTGCTATATGTGATTTTGAAGTAATTCGTTCACTTTAGGTTTAAATACATAGCCATTTCTTTTACTTATTGTATTCCCAAAAAAATCTTTCTGCCGCAATTTATAACTGAAATGTAAAAACCACACCCCAAATATTTTGTCCGATACAACATTTCTGCGTAGAAACCTACTGAAATGTCTCAGTTGTTTAAGACGAGTAGTTCAAGCACTATTTTCAACCTACCTTTTTCATATTTACAGCATTATGTACACGTGTCGACAAATCGCTAGCAACTACACGTTGATAATGCCTCAGGTGAGCTGTCGGGCGTCTCGTAGGGGTGTAACTTTGTTCCTCTTGTCGATGACGTCAGATTGAGCAATGTCTGAAAAGATACAACCAAAAGACAGAAAACGGGTTAAATAATTGTCCCAAATTCATTGGTTCCTTTAAAATGAGTTGTTGCTCAAACTAACTTTTGAAGGTTAATAATGAACTGCGTGCAAATTCATGTGAAACTCTCTCCTTAATTAGCCATTTTAAAATTTCAACGAATCAACAGTTGTTCTTCAAATTCAGTTTCACAGGGAAAAAAATCAGAAATGAAACTGCCTAAATTTGAAGAAATTCTTACAAGCTTTTTTACATTTTACAGAGGACTGTCCACCTTGTTAAGCCAAAACACAACCTGTACGCTCATAATGACCGAATCTGCCAAAGCGAAACTAGGTGGGCCAGTAAGCATATTTGCTGGTTGCGATCACTCAGGAAGTAAACGAAATAAAAACTGGCTGAATCTATTTTTTCCCAGCAGCTGCCACTTAACGAAATACAACTCTATAGCAGGTGCATGAGTCAATTATAAAAGGGTTATATATCAGTCATAGGAATGGGAAACCGTGGGGAAACAATTTCAAATAATTTGTTGAGGAGTTATTAGTTGTGGCATAGCCCTCCGAGTCTGAAGAATGTTATCGATACAAACAAGTTAGAATATCGAAACTAGAAACACATGTCCATTGTCGGATCCTGAAAAGCAGCAGGTCGATAACACATGGCAGATACAGCCAGCATAATACTTGTCTTTGAGTTTGGGATATTTTCATATTTGTTGCAAGAATAGCATCTCCTTAATTATAGTTTACTCTTCAATTCATTTATCTGTTCCTTGCTCTATCATCTATGCTTCATCTAAGCTTCGGTCGTATTCAAGATTCTACTTTTATTTAGATGACAATCTGATATTTTGGTGTATTTTTTTTCATGCTCGAAATACGGGGGAGTGATTACATCAAATGTTGGACAAGTTTGGTTTTGTTCAAAAGGACAATCACACATCCTGTGGAACACCAAATGTCAAACCTCAAGATAAGTCAACAGCTGGATCATGTTTCACGATGTTTCTTAGATGGTGGAAGGCAATAAAAATACGCCCACATTTGCTTCAACTTGCATTATTTACAGTTACCACCGAAGGATAAAACTCACATCGGGCATTTTTAGTTATTTCATGGCAATAAAATATCGTAATTATTTCATCCACGTGAACTTTTCGACCTGTGGTGTATGAGTGGAGTGTATGGGTGGAGTCCTACATCAGCTAGTGAGAACCAAATTCATAGTGCGAAACAAAAATACTGAAACGCAAATATTAGGATCTTGAAATGTCCAGAGAGAGTGCCGTGTGTTTATTATTGCTGCTCACCAGGCAGGCATTCCCCAGATTACCAAGCCTGCGTGACATGGCTTTCCCACGATACACCGACGCCAAACTAACCCAGATCACGGCCTCATTTGAGTCCCGAGAAAACCAAGCCCAGGGAAAGAAAGACTCCATTGCAAATTGTAAGAAACTGGGACAACTGAGATCCAGCAAGTGTTTTACTCGGTCCAGGCAAGATCTATTTTCTTCAGAATTGGAAGGCAAACGCGGAGGACTATTTCATCGATTTGGATTGATTTTGTAGGGTCGGCAACCTCCAGGGAGACAGGTGATGATTTCTCGAACAAAACTCCTCACTTAAAAATTCTGTCTGAAGTTTGACGATGTCATGCAAGGATAGAATAGAAATGTAAAGTTATCAATGGGTAAATAATTAATGGTGTATCTGTTATGTCCTATCGCATTTCAACAGACTTTTCTTTGACATGAACATTATTTCCTCATGCTGATCAGCGACACTGACTGGTCAACCTCATCCTGGTCAAACAAAGGTCAACTTTCACCTATTGTCTTTTACTCCATCCTTCCGCCGAACAAAATGCGTAAAAGGAGAATAATTGATTATTTATACAGATGCCAGTAGGCCAAACACAAAGCTCCTTGATTTCAAGTCTAAGCAAATAAAACATAAAAACCTCAAAACCACATCGCTGATATCTTTTAAAATAATGCCAGAAGTTTAGGCTTGCTCTTCTGCACTTCAACAGGAAGTAAAAGGTGGATGGTTGGGAGTGGGACCATGGAACAGAGTGACATCTTATCTTTAATAAGAAAATGTGGCGTGGACATATCTTCGTCACCCCTCCCGGTCCAAATCGTGGCGCCAGGGCCAGCGGCCGCACATTACCCCCAAACAGATCGTAATTTTTCGGTAAATAAATCAAACAAGTGGCACGAGGACCACCGTGAGCTTGTGTTGATGTGTCCTCGTGCCCAGTCCGAGGGCGTCAGCGATATACGAACCGCCGACGGCAGAGGGGTTAATGTCGGCGCAAGTGACCCGGGGAGAAGGGAGTGATTGACAGCGATGGCTGGGGATTTCTCAAGATCTTCCAAACCCACCACTCCCTCCTACAGAAGAAACCTCAACATTTCTTGTTTATCGTCCAAGAAAAACGAACTGACAGCTTCACGACTGTCCGGGTTATTTATAACAATCATCTCGATGAACTAAGTTGTACCCGGCAAACACACGGCAAAAGAAGGAAAGTGTAACGAATTGGGAAAGTGATCTCTGCGACAAGTGTAATTGCAATTTGGAGGTGAATTCCTAGGGTGCCATTTCAGCTTGTTCAAAGTGTATATCAAGACAGCTGGCAGTGGAAGACAACTCCGACCGAAATTAGAAAACGGAGAGGATTATGGGTGCTGTTTCAGCTCCACTACTCGGTCAGTGAACTTGAAGTTGTTCTCTTTTTTTAGGGGAAGATGGAAATGAAGTGAGCACAGACAGTTTGTGGTCTGACATGATAAGGTCTGGTTTCCTTCCTTGAATCATTGTAAACACACGGAAGGAAAGATCCCTGTCGGTGTGGAAACCAGATTGCAAAGAGAACTTCCCGCTTCAGGCCAAACAGATGTGCACCAGAAATTGCGTTCTCAATTAACAGAGAAATGTTCAACTTTCGGTATAAAAGCAAAGAGCTGCCACTCCATGCACTAAGATTAACTTCTTAACTAAAGATAATGATAATCATATGCATGACCAGGATGACCTCCAGGTTACCTAGGCAACGGTCAACATCTAGCATCATTTTTTTACTAGACAGTAAATAGTGAAAGATACAATTTTCATATGAACAATTAAATTGGACAGTTGGAATAAAATGGTTACATTGATATTTAGATATTGATGAAACTGACAATGCAATGTTGAATAGAAAATAGGGAAAATATAATTTGTAATGAAGTTAGCAATGGGTCCATGAATAAATTAAGACAAATATAGAGACCAGAGACTAGAAATTCATGAAATTGGTGCAATTCAATACGATTATTATTTCGCAATGCCTACTGTTGATGAACAAGAAAACAATTTCCGATGTTATATGACTGAACTCACTCTTTGCCAGTCGCAGTTTTCTAAGTCCGCTAACCCGCTCAACATGTCGAGGTTTTGCTGGGGCGTCAGGGATGTGAAGGGTGTTCTGCTGTTCTGGCCACCAGGCATACCAGGCATCGCGGACCTCCTGACATTGATGTTGTGTGATTCCAGAGCCGACTGCAAGTCCTGAATGTAATCAATGACATGCTGTAAGATCTCCACCCGTGTGATCTTCTTGTTCTTGGGGATGGTTGGCACTAGCTCCTTGAGTCTCTCGTAGCAGTCGTGCATCGTGTAGTTGAAGGCGCGACTCTTGGAGGAGGATGTTGTGGCTTTCTTGGGATGCACTCCTGATCCTCCTGCCGCGTGATGATGCGACATTATACTCTCCTCAGTGGGACGAGTTCTGTGCATCGCGAGATGAGATTGCGACGCTAAGGAGTGGGAGGACTGAGCTAAATTCTGACCGGCAAGTGTGTTCTTCATCTTGAAAGTTGAAGGAGTATAAATTCCTCGGGCTGAGAGGTCGGAGAATTACAAGATGGATGCTGTGACTCGAAGAGAACTGATGTGCATGTACGATGTACCGTCCGCAAGTTCGCGTTTGATATGAACGGAGTATCAGCGACAACACAATTTTTTCACGTCAGCTGGGTACACAGCTCTGACGCGGGGTCTAAAGTATGCAGCACAGCCGGAGTGGACCAATGAACGAGCTCCCTCCTGATTAATTATGGAACGCACACTGTGGGAATTTTATGAGCAGCGTGACAGCAGTGACGCGCGTTGGACCAATCAGCGGTCAGTATGACGCCCCCAGCTGTCAATCACCCTTATCCCGCGGCATATCACAGTCGGCGCTGACTTTGTCGACCCCGAGACATCAACCCGCCCCTTTTAAATGTCCACAGCTGCACACAACTCCGAAATCTCTCCGTTTTCACTCGGAGAAATAAGCCCCTAAACCCGATCCTGCACCTCTGGAGGGTTTGTAGGGGTAAGGTTCTGATCCCCTTCGAAAAGATTTAGCTGTTTGGGGGCCCGGTGTTGGACATCTGTGCCGGTCCGGTTGTGTATCTTTCGCATGAGGATCAGAATAAGAATTGACACGTGATTAATTGTTGAGTGTTGGTCACAATCAACAACAGGGAGCTCCGCCAGACTGGCGCCGTGCCGTGTGACGTCACCCATTCAGGCTGTGCACTACTCTGCCGGGCTGGCGACAAGATGGCGGTCGCCCTAGCAACCGCCCTGTCAGTCAAACCCGAACACAAGGGGGCCGCGCTTGAGTCAATTACTTACACGCCGTTGAGAGGTGATAAATAGCTTTTTAAATCGCCACCTCGAATCTGGTGTCAAGTCGGCCCAGCACACCTGCAATCCTGCCCGGGTTATCTGGCCGCTAATTATCGGCACCCGCCAACAAGTCAACGGTGAAATATTTTCACACCCAGAGATGGTCTGGAGTCGGGGAATTCCGAGTGTTCCTTGTCAATAAAAATATGCCAGCGATACGCTGATTATGCTCCAGAAAAATGATACCATAAAAATTGAATAAAATTAGACGGGTTTTTTAACCGATAACTGCAGAGGAGAGATCCCGCCGGTTTGTTGCAAATTGTGACCGTTCCAGTTTGTGATAGATTGTTAACATGTTGACACTGATGTCAGCTATCTGAACCTGTTGCACAAGTATCATAATTTTTACCTTAGCTGAATTTTAATCTGGATGTACCAAAATTGGAATCAAATTTCGTTTAGTCCTTTTTTACAAAATGATGTAAAAGCTATTTTCATTCATACTTTAACTCATAATATCTGCCTTTTATGACCCTTCGCATGACAATTTCAAACCAAGAATATGTTATGTTATATCATTCATAATGACTACACCTTTCAATATTCAATGACATCTGTCTCTTCTGATATTAACTTGAGAAAAATTAACGAAAAATAAAATCAGTACACAGACGTTTTTGCCAAGGTTTGAGCATAGAGCTAGGAAGTGTGCAAAGAGCTTGACTAATAAGTCTTCATCCTAAATATGTCGTCTGTTAATTGCAAAAACGAGATTGAAAACCTGTCGGATTAAATTACTGGCAAACCTTTTCTCACGGTCCGAGAGCCCAAGTCCTGAAAAGAAATAACTCCACAAAGCACCAGCCAGCAAAGCAAGGGGTAGGCGGGACCACTGAGCCCACCCCAGCTGGCAATTTACACGTTTGTTGTGGCAAGTTTTTTTTTTAACTGACAGGAAAGTTTACGTAGCACCCCGATCCCCCAGACAAGCCGGCGCCGCCCGCTGTAAATTACACGAAATTATCTGGCGGCTCGAGTAGCGGTAAGCACTTGAGGTATTCAAGGGTTAGTACTGGGCAAATATTGGCCTCCCCAAATCGTTAGCGCCCCTGTGTACCGCCTGTCCCGGCATTGTACCCCACACACACACACCATCAGTAACATCTGGGCCCCATTCCGCTACTTGGAACACGGAGGAAGTAAAATAGGACAGACCACTCAGCTCGGAACTCCTCCAAACTCAACGACAGGCCTCAAACTTATAAAAATAGACTTATCGATATTTATAATCCTCAACTTTGATCCGATTTTTTTTGAACCTGTAAAACTTGTGGCTTTTTGCAAAGAAATGCTTGTCATTTGTCTGTGAAGGATTGCCTGTAGCCACATTCTGTCGTAATTCGTGTCGAGTTTTTTGGTGTGGAATTGATGGTAATTATAAAAATATATATGTTGTAACTTGTAGTTGGCCGAAGAGGTTCAGTATTGGGGAAGGAAGTACGATTTGAAGGCATGAACCAGTCTTCAGTAAAACTTTGACCGGGTGAGGTGCAGGATATTTCCCTTTTTGTCAGTAAGTTTGCCATGGAGGAATAAAACAATACACCATCAGTCCCTTGCAAAAGTCTGAGGTTCATTGCCAACATATTCTCCGTCGTTTTGATTGGAGTTGAATTCAAAATCGGATTTCAGCAATCAGAAAAAACCTGATGTTTCATTTGTTTTCGAAAAATGACAATGTTGTTGTCCTATTACTTAGGTTGACAGAAAAAAGGGGGTCAGTACCAATCTTACTTGCATCATGATCATTGATCATTGCACTTCATTTTGTTTCAAAACAGATTCATGCGAGCCTTCCTCCATAGCTGCGTCAAGCCGTCAACGAACTATCTAACTGTCTGAAATTTAGGCCAAGAAAACAGGCAGACACAACAGAGCGAACAGAAAGTCTAGGCGAGGTCAGACAGTTGTTATGAACCTTGTTTCTCCTACAACAAAGTTTATAAACTTCGGGTGTTAGTGAGCGGTGGACGGTGGTTGCCATCTTTTTGGAGGCAAAACAGGATCAAATTGCTTATTTGAACCGTGGACTAAACAGCACATAACACAAACTGCCGAACCAACAAACCCACCAAACTTTCCCCCTGTAAACCAGAACACGAAAACACAAGAGCAACAGAGCGCGTCGAGGTATTTACTTTTGCGACCTAGCTAACCCTGACTGGCGCCACGATGTCTGCGACACCCCCACACCCGCTGAACACCTGTGCCAGGCCAACAATGCCGACATGATTACTCATATCAGGTCCGGACTTGATAAAAGGGGTGCTAGATGCTTGATCACAAACCCAAAATAATAATCCTTGTTTTGTAAAGTGCTGGCTGTAAATTGGTGTAAAGATTGATGGCCCGACCGGTGTCGTTTTTTTTTTCGACAAATTGATTTTGGTGCTTGTAAATTTGTTAATGGCTTTTCCTGATGTGAGGTTACTTTTTTCTTCGCTGTAGAGCGGTCGCCTGGAATCATTTCAGCGGCTGTCTGGTTGAGTGTTTTAGTGAACGCTAGACTAAAATCCAGGTAAAATGTCGTGAGAATAAGGTACTGTAAGGGTTTCATCAAAATCCTGATGACAAAATATGTTTTGCATCAGAATTCGCTTTGGGCGTCTTGAATTTTTGAAGGATCGTCATGGCAGCATGTAATAAATCAGTGTCTTAATGAAGAACAGGTGGTGAGCAGAAGTGCGCAGTTTCAGTTCTCCTATACGTCCCGAGAAATTGCCGGGCCGGTATTTTGTGCCTCTCGCAAGAGTGGAATGATAACAGTTGCTGCTGACATGGTGAACTTGTGTTGAGTTGACAGTTTGTGAGGTTTGGAATGTTTAGGGTCAGCTGGCTTTTATTGGGGTGCAACTGGAGATGTGTTTGACCGGGTGACGTAGGGGGAGCTCATGGTGTGTGTGCCGGCTCCTAACGGCTTACATCTCAGCCGAAGGCCTTGCCAAGTTCTGTTGGAGATGTTTTGCTTCTGTCATGCATTAATGGAGTTCCGTGATTTAAGTTTGACATCGTGTGTTGCCAATTAACGTCAAATTGGAAACAAGGCTGAAAATGACAGGCCCTTTCTCGATGTTTCATGTCTTTCAGCTTAAAAACACTGAAGAATGATTTGTGTCGAAAAGAATTTACACAATTTAAGAAGTTATCACTACTCTTTCAAACCATACAGCACCTCTAATGTTCAAAGTCTTCTTGCGTCTGAAAAAAATATATCATGCGATAAAGTTTGCCTTTAAAAGAAGTTTAGAATCCTTTTCGTTCATAAACCAAAATAACCTAAGCTGAAAGCTCGACATACGAATACTCTTCTCTATCTCTATGGAACCATATGAGTCTTCTTTTTGCAAGATAATTAACAGCAAATTCTTGTAAGACGTGGCAAACCCGTGTGTTAGTCTGTGGATGATTCATGCATTTTCTGCTGTTTGTAGTATAAATTAAGTACGTTTTCCTTTTTTGTTTTGGCTAGTCAGGCAACGAAGGAATGTACATGGAAGTGTTCAGTTCTCCGCGCTATGAAATCAGAGCTCTACTTTTAAACGAGGTCTCGACCTCTGACGTGCCCTCTCTCACAGACAACCATGACTCCGCGTGCAAACCCACGATAACGGCACAGAAATGTGCAGCTGCCTAGTTGATCATTGAACACATTTTATGGAGTGCTCTATTGTGGGATGTATTGATAATGCTGATGTCACAATGGAGTATCTAAATGGAAGAAGTTAGTCAATAATGTAGTGAGTTTTTTTTTGGAATTGTGGACCCGAAGTGCCCGGCAAAGTGACCGTGCTTTGCCGGGCACTTTTTACATGCATGGAGTAGTACGTTTTATTGCTAACTTAAAAATACCAACGTCGTACAACTTGACATGAAAATGTTACAATTTGGCAGGTAATTTGTTTCTCTTATGTATTCTATTACTAGTTTTTTTTGATTAATTTTTAATCGAGAGACGTCTTCGTTCTGAATGTAGATTTGTTGGTTTTTGGTATAAAAATATTCAAGTCGACTATAGAGAGTGACATGGATTTTAGTTCTCAAAATATCACCATAAGATTAAGAGCGTTCCTTTGCTTCTTGCAGTAACATGATTTTAGTTAGGATGCACTGGACTGGTCATGGTTGGACCTGTTGGTCAATCTATAGAGCAGGGAATAGAGCTCTATGGTCAATCGTGGTCGTTCTTTTGAACAGATTCTCTGTGCCTTATCCCGACCCAATTAAGTCACATCTGCGGTAGCTCTGTGGCCTGAATCCCAAGTTCCAACTGCCGATGGGCCGTGCTTTCCAAGAAATCTGTCCAAGCAAAACACCTGTTAGTAACTTTAAGGGTTCGTTTAGAACAAATCAGCTTGAAAACCCGCGGGTAAAAAGTCTCGACATGCATCCATCGTCACACAACATTGTAGACCTCAAGACTGCTGCGAAAGTTCTGAAAATACACTCTTTTAGTTTGCATTAGTTATTTACTTGGTTTAATTGAACTCCATTTTGAATTCCGATAGTATCATTGTATTAAAGTGTACTTTAGTGGTAAAGTTGAGGGGAAACAATTGGGAAAATTTCTTCAACCTAATGTGGGTAATGTAAGCGCATGTAATCCTTAATCTACTGTGATAGTTCTCAAGTTTATACATTTGCATCTTGGCACGATGAAAAAAGAAGTAGACCTACTTATTACTAGTACTTGAA